CCTCTTCTTTTGATCCAAACAATGCCCCCCTCTCTCATTGTGTTGTGTTGTAGTTTGGGGATGTGATGTGAGCTCTATTGGACGGGGCTTCCTAGCTGAGTTCTTCATAAAGAGCAGTAGCAGCCATTCAAAAAAGGCCCTTCCGAGTCAAACACCAGCAGACTTCCCTGCAACTCCCAGCAAAATCCCCTCCAACTTCCAGCCACTGGAGTGACCCCTCTTACATATTTTTTTTACTCTGACTCCACCCTTTCACTGGATTACAGGGTCTATCCAGGAGATGAAGCTTCTCTTTAGATCTTGATGTCCAGAAATCATGACAGAAAGAATATTTTAAAACAAAAATTTATGTTTCAAAAGGAATTGTAGGGGACCAGCCAAGGACCCATCAAGGTAGGTGGGGAAATTTTGAATGGCTACTACTGTAGGAAACGTCAAAGTAATTTATTTATCTTGCAAACCTTTTGCCTCTGACAGAGTGTGAACAAGGTTTACTTTTCCACAATTCCACAATCATGGTGTCACTTCTTGTTGATGAGATTGTAATCACTAAAACTTCAAAACCCAGAAAATTCTTGCAAAACTACAAACAATAAAAAAAGTCCCCTGAAATCCCAGGAAAAAAACAACAACTTTCTGATAGAGTCGGGTTGTGATTTTCATTAGAAATAAATCTCTTTTATAATGATATAACGTCAAAGCATACTTTTTGTTTCAATGCCAAAAGCATATAGAACAGATAATGTTTAATAAAAACAACAATATTTCAATATCCTGAATCTCATGAGCTTGATCCTCCATACTGCAGGGCACTGATATGGAAATTTCCTTCATATAAAAGTCTGTTTACATTTGCTCAAAATCCCTTTCTATATCAAAATGAGGAGATATTTTAATATCCTTACAGAGAACCTCAAGACTTAAAAGTACAACAGGAAGTTAATTAAATCTGAATATATCCAGATTGTAATCACTGACGACAGAGGAAACAGAATGGGGAGAAAAGGCTTAGCAGAAATGTTCTGCATTAGGCCACCTGAAAAAAAAAAATGATGTATGCAATTTAACAAAGATCTCTACAGAGGCAGTTCAAAGAAGAGCTGAGACATTTTAAATGAGACACGAAGACTTTATCAGTAATTACGGCACTCATCTCCTAATCACACTATTCCTGCTTAATTGCATAAAAATTGGACACATCATAAAAAAAAATGAAGCTGCCATTTTAAATCAAAGACATTCATTAATAAACAGATGAAAAAAAGACAAGTTCCAAGTTTTTTTTTTTTTCTTTACCACTGTGAACATTCTTTCTTCTGGAAACACTCATTGTACCCAAGTTGTTTTTGATGTGGAGATTTTTGGAGACTACCTACTGATATCAATTAATTACTGATGGCTTAAGTTTTCCCAATTATATTTAACTTGATGTACTTGAAACACACTCTCCGATTTTAACCAAAGTTTTCTTAATAACGGCTTTAATTTGAAACCTGAGAGCTGTAAAGTCAAAACTCTCTGACTTACAGCATTGACAGCAATTTTTTTTAGGAGAATTCATCATTGAATATATAGAGACTTCTGAGTTTTATTATTGATTATGTATGTCTATTAGTGTTGGGTCGGTCATGAATGTGCTGTTCAATTCAATTCAGTTTATTTCTATAGCACCAATTAACAACACGTGTCATCTCAGTTTACAGTTCACCAGATCCTCCAATCAAATTGATTCAAAGTTTTCTATCTAAGGAAAACCAGTTGATTGCATCGACTCATTGACTCAATTACAATCCTTCACACTAAGCATGCTTGTAGCGACAGTGGAGCGGAAAAACACCCTTTTAACAGGAAGAAACCTCCAGCAGAACCAGGCTCAGTGTGAGCGGCCATCTGCTGAGGCCGACTGGGGTTCAAGGAGACAGAATCAGACATACAGAAAGAAGCAGAGATACAAAGGGCAACTATAAAAGGCAGCCCTGTCCAGGAAACACATAGTCATGCAAATGTAACCAGGATAATTTTTCTATATTAGATTCATTTTATATTTTATTTTCCATTTTTAGATTTAATTCTATTTATTTTTATTTAAAGGTTTAATTAAAATCCTCCTTTCTTTAATTTATTCAACACTAATCTAGTGAGAACAATGCTGTTCTTGCACGGTTTTGACATCATGTGCCAGCTGCACGTCATTGTCCTAATTGACAGCTATGGCTTATATGGCTGCTAACCGCGCCTTAGGTAGGAAATGCTGTTGGACCCTGACGTGCAGGTAGGCTTCTGGTCTGTTCCCAAGTGGTTATCATAACTATTGTATATCTTCAATCTTGTGCCTCTGTTAATTTGCAGACGTGTGATCACTCAACCAAACATTGTAAAGATCACGGTTGGTCAAGAGGGAACTGGTGAGTGTTTGCTTGGGAGCTAGCATGCTAGCACTAGCCTCCCCTAGGGTGGCCAGATGTCCGGCTTTAGGGCGGACAGTCCGGATTTTCATTGCACTGTCCGGCGTCCGGCGCTGCACCCAGCCGGACGTGTATTTGTCCTCCTTTACCCCCAGATTCCACATACTCCGTCAGCGCTCCGCCCCGCTCACGTACGGAGTACTTGTCTGTCATGTAAATCAATGAGAGCTGTTCAACATCCTCCGCTCGTCACCGCCCACGTCAGTCTTCTCCGTCCTTCACCGTCAAAATACGGAGCTGAGCTATTTTTTGCTCCCCTCCGGTCCGTCCAGATCAAGACCCGCTATTGCAATCGCACCAAACAGAAAAAAGAATGTAGAGAAGACCCGGTTTGTCAAATTAAATTATAGTAAAAACAGATCGGTATCTAGAAATTAGAGCATAGTTTGTATATATTCCCAAAAACTAAGAGCAATTAATTAAATAATTGGATGCAGACTATTGGTGCTTCAACAGACCAGGAAGAAGTTGTGAGATTCTAGAGTGAATCTCACAACTTTAAAAGAAAATTCTTATTGCAGGAATGGATGAAGAGATGATGAGTTTGGAAGCAGAGAATAAACAGAGTTCATACAAACTATGTATGATCCTAGTTATCCCTGTTACAAAAATCGGCAACAGAAAGAAAATATTTGGGCAGAAACTGAACATCTGCTGGATGATGATGGGGATTTTTTTAATATGTCAGATTCAATTAAGCGTTCACAGGTTTTATACAGGAATGAGGAGCTCTAATTTAATGCTCTTTTAATGCTATTAGAAATAATTTTAATGCCATCAACAAGTATCATGTACACAAGTTATTAGTTTACATGAAATAAGGAGCTGTAAGCACAGTTCCATGACTCAAGTTTATATATATATATATATATATATATATATATATATATATATATATATATATATGTATATATATATATATATATATGTATATATATGTATAGATAGATAGATATGTATAGATAGATATATAGATAGATATGGATAGATAGAGAACATGGTGAAATCATCTTTACTCTCGACAGGCTGCAGCCATGTCATGAATTCCTCTTTTCCAGCCACTTTTTGCAGTTTGCATCGTCCTATTCTCTAGCTCTTTCTCGAGCTTCTTTTCCAAACAACTGCTTTATGATCAATTGCAGCAGTTCTGCGCAAATTAATTGTGTTAAAAAAATGGTCACTTTTTAAACACCACAATGTATTAAATAAATACAAATGCTGGGAACCAATTCTTTTTTACATTTCTTTAATATTTTGTTCTATTCAGCTACACAAGCATCCTCTTTAAACTACTAAGAATTGTGCTATAAATGTGACTTTACCCGATTCTTATGTACACCTTAGTAATTTAATGATATGCCGCACAATGTCCTCCTTTTTGGTGCTATAGAAATGGCCACCCTAGCCTCCCCAGCCTGTTATAGTTATACACTGAACTAAATTGAAATGCTTACCAAAACTACTGTTCTGTAGAAATACTGTTTTGCATAAGTTGCATTTAACTATTATGTAAACTCCTGCATTTATAAGAAAATACATGTACATGTAAATTGATTGTTTAGGCCTGTTTACACAGGCCAGGTATATTGCAGATCCCCCTCAAGGCGTGGCTGAAGGGTCTAGGATACAGCAAAGATTGTCTGGCTTCATAATGACCAGACTGGCGAGCTAACCGCTTAACGGATTGGGATTGTCTGAGGAAACTCTTCCGAACTGGTTGGAGATTCAGCCCAACAAGTCTTCACTGAAGGAATTGGATTATTATTTTTGTTTTTTCTCCCTTTCATCATCAACAAAGACTGGTTGACTTCCTTGGTTTAAGGAACCCATTTGGACTTTAACATTGTGGAATAACTTGTGTATATATTGTAAATAATAATACAACTCACTAATTTTGCACCATCAAACTGTCTCTGTGTTTTACAATTTGCCACCTCCTCCAGCAGACGAACCTAGTCTATAAGAAATCACATGTGTTGACTTTAATTTGGGTTATTTCTAATCCTAATAATCCTAGAATGCAACTTGGTTACAAAAATTGGCGAGCTAGCCAGGAGGTTGTTGGCATTTTGTTAAACACTAATTTATTTATTTATTCTCTCTTTTTTTTTTTTTTTTTTTTTTTTTCCTTTCCCTGTCATCTTCAATATGGATGAATTTCAAAGACTTGATATAAAAATTCCCAACTCTGTTTTGGTTGAAGGCATGTCTGATGAAGAGGGTAAAGAGGAAGTATTTAACTTTTTGAAACAATATGGCAAGATAACAAAGATTGAAATCATTTCTGAAAGTGATTCTGAATTTGAGGGCCAGCTTGTGGTTGAATTTAGTAGTGGTACAGCTGTGGCTGAATTACGTTCCATTCTACCATATTCATTTAAATCATCTCAGAAGTCAGACACATTTTCCATCTCTGAATTAGCAGTTGTATATGCAGAACATGTTGCACGGAGTAGAACTAATTCTTATTTATTTGAGTTACAGAAACTTGCAAAGCTTTCTGGCATGGAGTTTGCAGAGGTGTTAAAATCCACGATGACTCAGATTGGACAATCAGTTGCTGAACTTCATTCGGCTGCTCAAACGGAGGATCCTGATGAAAAGTCTGAGGTTATGGCAGCATCTGCAGATCCAACAATGAAGAAAGAGCCAACGTTGTCAACGGACACTGATCCTACAGTTCCCAGACTGAGAAATGAGCAGCAACCTACTTCAAGAAGGAGACCTTCTTTTCATGATGATGACATCCAACCACCTGAAGTACAGCGCTACGTGGTGGAACACATTATGAAAACTGAGGAAAGTGCTTACCATCTACAAAGGCTCCGAGTGTTTTCTGGACGGCTGCCTAGACCAGCACATGAAGCGGACTACGAGACCTGGCATTCAGGAGTGGATCTGCTATTAAAAGACCCATCAGTTTCTGAGCTTCAGCGATCAAGGAGGATTGTAGAGAGTTTACTTCCCCCAGCCGCTGATATGCTGAAGCATTTAAGTTCAGATACTCCACCTACTGTGTATCTGGACATATTGGATTCAGCATATGGCACAGTGCAAGATGGAGAAGAACTCTTTGCAAAATTCATGGACACTTTCCAAGATGCAGGGGAGAAACCATCTTCATACCTCCAGCGGCTGCAGGTAGCATTAAACTTAGCCCTGAAACGAGGTGGTGTGTTAGCCAAGGATGTAAACCGGCATCTCATAAGCCAGTTCTGTAGGGGTTGTTGGGACAATATTTTGATTGCTGAACTCCAGTTAAAACAAAAGAAATTGGTTCCACCTAGCTTTTCTGAACTGCTACTACTTCTACGTACTGAAGAAGACAGGGAGGCAGCTAAAACTTCCCGGATGAGACAATATTTGGGTTCCACCAAACAAAAAGTAGTCAATCATGCACAATTGGCTTGTGTTGACACAGGTGATGGTGGAGCAGTTGCTGCTTTAACCAAATTGACTCAGCAGTTGGCAGAACAACTGGCAGACGTACAGCGGCAGCTGGCTAAGCTAACATCCACCACCACCCAGCCCAGGACTGCATCACAACCCAAGGTAACACAGTCAGCGGGGTGTAAAGGGAGGCAATAAAGTGACCTCTCAACAGTCCCCACCAGTCCATGTTAAACCTGTTTATTGTTTCAGGTGTGGTGAAAACAGCCATATTAAGCCACAATGTAATAATGAACCAAACCCTGCTCTTGTTACCAGAAAAAGGAAACAGTTTGCTCAGCGACAGCAAAACGTCTTTCAGAAGAAGTTAAACTAGGCATGGTTCCTGTTGCGGGACAAACCGGAACCAGTCTCAGCCAAACCAGTCCCCTTATTAAAGAAAAGACTGTTAAATGTACAAAACTGCAAGCCCAAGCTAATAAACTACCCACTCAGCTACCCAAAGGTTTGATTGGATCTAAGTGTGCTGCTGTTGTTGACATTTCTGGTCATGTGTGTAACTGCCTTTTAGACACTGACACAGTCTCTTTCTATAATGATAAGCTAAGCAACCAACCTGTAATGCCTTTGGATAATTTGTTACAGGTTGAGGGTGCTGCTGGACAGTCAGTTCCATATCTGGGGTACGTGGAGCTGGTCATCACATTCCCTGAAGACTTCATAGGAGTAAACACAGAGGTACCAACTCTTGCTCTTGTGGTCCCAGATACTAGTCCTGATAGGCCATCTACTGTTCTTATTGGCATGAACACACTGGAAACACTGTATGAACAACATCTTAGTAGTAACCATGTACAATTTCAACCCAAGGCCCAAGGATATCGAGCAGTCCTGAAACTGCTACAGTTAAGGCACCAGCGAAATCAATCAGGAAATGCAGGGACTGTCAGGCTGTTAAGCACCACTCCAGTCCTAATTCCACCTGGTCAAACCATTGTTTTGGAGGGTTCTATTAAAACCACCCCTCCATCTGTAGATAAGTGGGCCATTGTTGAACACCCTAGCTCACCTTTACCAGGGGGTTTATGTGTTCAGAGTTGTCTAGTTACACTGCCACAGCATCCACCATATAAAGTCCCCGTGATCATGAAGAATGAATCAGAACAAGAGGTGTCCATATCACCATTAACCATTATTGCAGACATTGGGTCAGCACCTACTGTTTTGTCACAACAGATTACATCTCAGACCTCACAACAAACCACTTTGGAGTTTAACTTTGGAGACTCTCCCATTCCACCCGAGTGGAAAGAACATATTATCAACAAATTGAACAGCATTCCTGAAGTGTTCTCTCATCATGATATGGATTTTGGCTGTACAGATGCAGTTAAACATACCATTAAACTTAATGATGAAACACCTTTTAAACACAGAGCAAGGCCAATCCATCCTCAAGATCTGGAAGCAGTCCGTGAACATCTTAGAGACCTGCTCGAAGCTGGCATCATAAGAGAGTCTCAATCACCATTTTCCTCTCCAATAGTTGTTGTTCGGAAACGTAATGGTTCCGTCCGGCTATGCATAGATTACAGGAAACTAAATCTTCAAACTATCAAAGATGCATATGCCCTTCCTAATTTGGAAGAATCTTTTTGTGCTTTGACAGGGTCCAAATGGTTCACTGTGTTGGATTTAAAATCTGGCTATTATCAAATAGAGATGGCAGACGAAGATAAGGCTAAAACAGCTTTTGTAACTCCCCTTGGATTTTGGGAGTGGAACAGAATGCCGCAAGGAATTACAAATGCACCTAGCACGTTTCAGCGGCTAATGGAGAGATGCATGGGAGATCTGCATCTAAAAGAAGTCCTTGTCTTCCTCGATGACATCATCATCTTCTCTGCCACTCTGGAAGAACATGAGGAACGGCTGCTGCATGTGCTCTCCCGGTTGAAGCAGTTTGGACTAAAGCTCTCTCCAGAGAAATGTAAGTTCTTTCAGTCTTCTGTACGTTATTTGGGACACATTGTCTCTGAAAAAGGAGTTGAAACTGATCCAGAAAAGATTGATTCTTTAAAATCCTGGCCAGTCCCCCGCAACCTTAAAGAGTTGCGATCTTTTCTGGGTTTTGCTGGATATTACCGAAGATTTATTAAAGACTATGCTGCTATTGTCAAACCACTTAATGAGTTAACCCGTGGTTATCCTCCTGCCCGCAACCCTGCAAAGCTGAAGAATCCAGAAGGAAAGTACTCAGATCCAAAGCAATCCTTTGGAGATAAATGGACTAGCCATCAGCAGAATGCCTTTGAAACAGTAATTTCCAAATTGACTACAGCACCTGTTCTTGGGTTTGCAAATCCACAACTGCCATATATTTTACATACTGATGCCAGTACAAATGGTTTGGGAGCAGTATTGTACCAAGAGCAGGAGGGCAAGCTGCGTGTTATTGCTTATGCTAGTCGAGGCCTGTCTGTCAGTGAGTCAAAATATCCTGCTCATAAACTGGAGTTTTTAGCCCTGAAGTGGAGTGTTACTGAGAAGTTTCATGACTACCTCTATGGGACTAACTTTACAGTTGTCACAGATAGCAACCCTCTCACCTATGTTCTTTCTTCAGCCAAGCTGGATGCTACTGGTCACCGGTGGTTAGCAGCACTGTCCACTTACTCATTCAAACTGCAGTACCGTGCTGGAAAACAGAATTTTGATGCTGATGCTCTGTCCCGACGCTCACATGAAGATACTTCTAGTGATCAGCACTGCAGAGAGAGGGAGCTCATTCAACATCTGACCAGTCAGTGGGGTAATGATAAAAAAACACATGACATTTCCCCTGAAATTGTGGATGCCATCTGTCAGAGTTGTATAAGCCGAACACAGAACCAAACTGAACTAAGTCGATCTGTTGCACTGGTTGAGTCTCTATCTGTCTCTGTTAACTCCATCCCTGATGGGTTCAGCAATGAAGAGTTACATGGCTTGCCTCTAATCCCCTCTCTATCTCAGGTCGATCTCCAAGAAGAGCAACAAGCTGATCCTGCTATTCGTGAGGTCATTCATCAGCTGGAGACTGGTGAGAAGGTCCCTCCATCAGTTCGAGAGGAGCTACCTGACCTTCCTTTGCTCCTGAGAGAATGGAACAGGTTAGAGTTGGTGGATGGAACCTTATATCGGAGAAGACATGATGGAGATAAACTTATCTACCAGCTAATCCTACCGCCCAAGTTACGACCAGCTGTTTTAAAGAGCTTGCACCATGATATGGGGCATATGGGCATCGAAAGAACAATTGATCTGGTGCGCCAACGCTTCTTTTGGCCCAAAATGACACTAGAGGTGGAGACCTTTGTAAAAACCTGTGGTCGTTGCATAAGGCGTAAAGCTCAAATAGAAAGAGCAGCTCCATTAATAAATATTCAAACAAGCCGACCACTTGAACTGCTATGTATGGACTTTTTAACCATTGAACCTGACAGCAGTAATACTAAGGACATTCTTGTTCTTACTGATCACTTCACCAAATATGCAGTTGCCATTCCTACCCCCAATCAGAAGGCAAAGACGGTTGCAAAGTACCTATGGAATGAATTTATGGTTTATTATGGAATTCCAGAGCGTATACATTCAGACCAGGGTACAGATTTCGAGTCCAAGCTCATTAAAGAGCTCTGTGAAGTGGTAGGCATGAAGAAAAGCCGAACTACCCCGTACCACCCACGAGGGAATCCAGTCGAGCGCTTCAACCGCACTCTACTCAATATGCTTGGAACCCTGGAAATGAAACAAAAGTCAAAATGGCGAGAGTATGTCAAACCTTTAGTACATGCATATAACTGTACAAGAAACGAGGTAACAGGGTTCACACCTTATGAACTCATGTTTGGTCGTTGTCCTCGTCTTCCTGTGGATTTGGCTTTTGGTTTACCCATCAGAGAACAATCATCAATCTCTCACTCGGAGTATGTTAAGAATCTGCAATCCAGCCTGAGAGAAAGCTACAAATTAGCTTCTGAAAATGCCCTCAAGTCAGCTGCAAAGAACAAGATCCGTTTTGATCAGAAAGTTACACCATGCAGTTTGGAGATAGGAGATCGAGTACTGGTTCGCAACATCCGTCTGAGGGGTAAGCACAAGCTGGCAGATAGATGGGAACCAGGGGTGTACAAAGTTGTTGACAGAGCTGAAAATGTACCAGTTTACACTGTACAACCTGAACACAAAAAGGGACCAACTCGTACTTTACATAGAGACCTGTTGCTTCCTTGTGGTTTCCTGCCAGTTTGCTCCACAGAAGACCCTCCCATCTCCATGCCTGCCTCACAACGAAAGACTCGCAACCAGGATGGTTGCCATCCAGATGTTTCTGATGCGATGGAGGAGGATGAGGATGCTGAGCCATATGTGACAGAAGTTTCCATCCCACTCTCAACTGGATTCAGTGTGAAGGTGAGCAAATTCAAGTCATCACCGGAATCCATTACTTTGCAGCCCAGTTCACCTTTGGCACAAAGTGATGCTGAAGCGCCAGAGCATCCTGTACCTCTAATTCAGAGCACAGACCTTGAGACTGCTAGTCCATCTGAAAATGAAGGATCCTGTTTAACAACTGATTCCTCACTGTCTCACCATGAAGACAAGCTACCTGTGGAACAGGTTGAAACAGAGGAACTTTCTGAACCACATATAGCTGAGGCTGTGGAAGTACACATGGAGGGAGAAATATCTAACGAACACTTACCTGAAGTTCAAGAACCTGACGCTGAGGATCATCTGATCGTTCAATCTGAGTCATCTACAGGTCCTGCCAATGTCAGCTCACCCTATAACTCAGTTGAGGCTGAAATATTGCCCAGGCGATCAGATCGACAGCGGCAGCCTCCTAGTCGTCTAACATATCCTGTGTTGGGTAAGCCACTCATTTCAGTAGTTCAGACTCTATTGCATAGTTTGGCAAATGTGTACACTGAGGCTCTCAGTCAAGTTTCTAATGTGAATATTCAGAAAAATTAATTCATGCAACGGGACGTGCAGGAATTAAAGAGGGGAGGATGTAACCAGGATAATTTTTCTATATTAGATTCAGTTTATTTTATTTTCCATTTTTAGATTTAATTCTATTTATTTTTATTTAAAGGTTTAATTAAAATCCTCCTTTAATTTATTCAGCACTAATCTAGTGAAAACAATACTGTTCTCGCACGGTTTTGACATGTGCCAGCTGCACGTCATTGTCCTAATTGACAGCTATGGCTTATATGGCTGCTAACCGCGCCTTAGGTAGGAAATGCTGTTGGACCCTGACGTGCAGGTAGGCTTCTGGTCTGTTCCCAAGTGGTTATCATAACTATTGTATATCTTCAATCTTGTGCCTCTGTTAATTTGCAGACGTGTGATCAATCAACCAAACATTGTAAAGATCACGGTTGGTCAAGAGGGAACTGGTGAGTGTTTGCTTGGGAGCTAGCATGCTAGCACTAGCCTCCCCAGCCTGTTATAGTTATACACTGAACTAAATTGAAATGCTTACCAAAACTACTGTCCTGTAGAAATACTGTTTTGCATAAGTTGCATTTAACTATTATGTAAACTCCTGCATTTATAAGAAAATACATGTACATGTAAATTGATTGTTTAGGCCTGTTTACACAGGCCAGGTATATTGCAGATCCCCCTCAAGGCGTGGCTGAAGGGTCTAGGATACAGCAAAGATTGTCTGGCTTCATGCTGACCAGACTGGCGAGCTAACCGTTTAACGGATTGGGATTGTCTGAGGAAACTCTTCCGAACTGGTTGGAGATTCAGCCCAACAAGTCTTCACTGAAGGAATTGGATTATTATTTTTGTTTTTTTCTCCCTTTCATCATCAACAAAGACTGGTTGACTTCCTTGGTTTAAGGAACCCATTTGGACTTTGAATTGTGGAATAACTTGTGTATATATTGTAAATAATAATACAACTCACTAATTTTGCACCATCAAACTGTCTCTGTGTTTACAATTTGCCACCTCCTCCAGCAGACGAACCTAGTCTATAAGAAAGCACATGTGTTGACTTTAATTTGGGTTATTTCTAATCCTAGAATGCAACTTGGGTTACACAAACGTGCTCCGAGCCAGCTCCCATATCCGAAGATAAAGAGAGCACGTCCAGCCAGTCACAGTCAGAGAAACAGGACTACACTGAAAAACAGGCCGATCTGAAACATCTATAAACAAAGGTGTTGAGCAGCACAGCTGATATTTCTCTCCAGGATGGAGTCACAGCCAAACAGGAACAGACCAGATGAAGCTACTATGAGAAAAATGAGGCAGAATGATGAAAAAGGGGTCCCCATGTCCTCCAGAAGTCTAAGCCTATAGCAGCATAACTATAGAGATAGCTCAGGATAACTGAGTGTGAATTTTGTTTGAACAAACTGATTTAAATCACTATCATTTGTTAGTTTGCTACTTTTTTTCCTGTTGAATTAAAACCAGATCAAGTAGGTCAGTAGGGAACCCAGGTTCTGTGACATGTGTTACTCGGAGCTTATGGCTTATCTTAACCTTGTTAGGATAATTATCATTGCTGATGTGTGAGTTTATTACACCTTAATATTAGCTGCCTGTTGTGTGTCAGAACTGATGTTTTCCACAATAGTTTATCTAATTAGGACAGTTCCTCCGTACGGATATATATAGCTATCATCTTCATTATGTTATTGCCATTGTAGTGTTGCATTGTAGCAAGAATTAAATGTATATTTAGTAAGTCTTTTCTGTTATATACAGTAACTTGTCTGCACCCAATTCGTCACAATGCCTACTCTTCCTCCTGCAGTACATTTTTGGCTTTGGAATTGAAAATTAATTGCAGTCATTTTTTGTTTGCATTTTATTGTACCTGTCAATATACTGATAAACAAGGTGCGATCTTATTTTGCAAGACTACTCTAAGCAAGTGCGATGATGACGTCAGATAAGCAATATAATGGAAAGAATGTAAATGCAAGCTGTTGTTTAGCGTGTTTTCATAATTTTAGGATAGAAAAGTGCTTTTGGTACTATAATCACATTATTTACTGGCGACATGGAGGAATTCCTGTTTGCACATGTTCAAATGAGCTGAGTTACCAATTGTGCTACCGGTGGAGATCTAATGGAATAAGTTTGCTTCTCTAACTTAATATTCTAAACACAGAGAAACGCTGTGGAGGAGACACCAAGAAGCCTTTTTTTTTTTACATCTGAGCTGACTGATTTCCAGTTGTCAGAATTTCAAATTACGTTGATGAGAGAGCCTGAGATGTTTGTTTGATATTTCTTTTCTTTTTAAGATTTTGGGGAACATAATAGGCTTTCAATGGTGTATGATGACCAAACTTAATGTCACTATAGCCATGTTTACTGCCTAATATAAATGTAAAGGAGCAAAATGCAGTTAGAGCTCTGCAAACAGAACACACTGTGTCTGAATGTCCGCCCATAACCACTTCATAGAGGACTATCAAGGGCTTACGGCCCTTGTTGTTTGTTGTTAATAGCCTACAGAACAGACATTATTTTGTTCACTACTGAGGCTGAGTATCATGTGTTATTTGGAGTTGAGAGTTACTGTTAACTTTTATTGTTAAGTGAGGGATGTTTAGATGAGATGTTATTTCTTTCATTGTGCTATTCATTCATTTCAGGAATTGTTAAGCATTTTTTATAAATACATTTCCAAGGTGTCCTGGTTTCCCCAAATGAAAATATGGTCACCCTACTGTAAAGTCCCCACTCTATAAAATTATTGAGGGGTACAGGTTAGGGCAGATGTTCGGGACACAGACTATGTGACTCAAGCAGTCCATTTTAACAGTAAAACTTAAACTGCAACTTCCTGAACTTGGTGATTCGGTAAAAAAACCTTTTGAAAAAAATTATTTTAATGTACTGAATCTAATCTACTGATTCAGTTCTCTCAAAAGAACAGCTGTTCCAATCACTAAATTGGAGGTGAATAATTCTGAAACTATATATCATTTAGGATTGTGAATAGAGTTGTTGAATCAGAAAACATTATTTCTGTTGTCATATTTTAGCTTTTTAGGCTAAATACTTTAAACAACATTTGGCTGTTACTTCATGGTCATAGAAGGACTTCAGGTTAGTTCTTTTTGGAAAACAAGCAGCAAACATGTGGTAAGGACATATGAAACAAGACAAGGACATCGATCACTGCTTATGGAATTGAGAAATCATAAAGCCGTCAAGGAGGAAAGTTGAAATGCATCAAAAGATTAAGGCTTCCCATTGGTTGTTTGAGCTTTTCTGTTAAAATAATGAGGTTAGACGGAGATGAGTGGATTTTCTGTGAATTGGACACAAAAAAAGTGTAATCACAGCATTACAAGTGCAACCCATTAACACTGAAAAACATGATCCTTCACATACTCTGATCAATGATCTTGCTACTTCTATTGAGGAAACATAAGAGTCCCACTCACAAAAGTTTCCAAGAGCATACAAGACAGCTAAAATATTGAGAATTATAAAGCATTTCTTATTCTTATTAAAAAATTAGCCAACTTGAAAATGGGTCAGAAAAGCTTTTTGTGTTGTAAGTGCTGGAGGGTTCTCATCTTTTCAACGAAGTACAAATGGAAGATTTAATGCTTTTCAAGCCCACATTTTAATTATCAGATGAGTCCTTTGACAAAAAGTTAAATTCACAGTAAAACTTTAAAAATCTTTATCTAATCATCCATCTTTTTTGGGGTGAAACTTTTTATCTCTGTTGATTCTTTATCGTCAAACACAAACATTATTTGCCAAATATAAGTTTAAATCACTACTACGTAACTCGACTATCTCTAACAGCAGGTTTAAAGCTATACCCTTCTGAGTGTTTACAGAGCAGGATGCTTGAACATAGGTTCCCCTGCAAACTGCCGGTAACCATGGTGTCAATGCCCATCTCTGAAAGTGGGATTTATCAGCCTTGCCTTTGGAAGAGCTTTTCTGTAAGTAAACTACAGGATGAGGGTACAGGACTGTTTCCATGGCAAACTGTGGGAGCACGCTTTCTGAGCAGAGCGACAATTACAGTCACTGTTAGAGCATCAAAGGCCAATTTTAAACCATTTCTGGAACCTGAAGGCGCAGAGAGGGGGAGCTTTTTTGTCCGCTGTACTTACAGGAAGGTGGATTACGCAGAAAGGGGTTCAATCTATCAGTTTTGAGCAAATCTTCTAATTGCTGCTGTTCTTCTAAGCTGTACTAGCTTCTTTCATCCCACGGACACAGCTTCTCTTCTTTGCTATCATCCTTTCTTTGTTATATTATTAATTAGCAGACCTTCATCCTCAAATTTGAAGCAGGGCGCAGGAGTCTGTTAAATCAACTCTGGCTTTAATTCTTCCACTCCATCCTGCCCTCAAAGTCTCTAAATGCATGTTATTATTCAGTTGTTCCTTCCAGTAGCAGCAGTGAAGTCTGGCAGCAGCTGATGTGTTCACATCTATTTTTCTGTGCTGGTCAACCATTTTGAGGCATGGAGAGAGTCACTTAAACGTAGGGTCACTTATCTTATTGTTGAACAGAAATAAGAAAAACCCCTCAAAAGCCTCAATGACATTTTACTCAAAGGGACAAAAGTATAGAGAGAAAATCACTTTAAATGTTCTTGTTCGACTGCATTTAAATTCGAATGGGGTTTCAGTCAATGGTATAGCAGCAGCTTGATCCACTAAGTATGTAGCAGGGGGGAATATTACTTGGTAGGAAATTCAAAGCCAGAATTTTAGAAAAGAAAAAAAGGGATTTCAAGTGACTTTTCACAATGTATTGTTGTTGATTCCAGATGTTATCACTTGAGTATTTCTTTGAACTATGTGCTGGGATTTTTTTTTTTAAACAAAATCATCCAAAAGGTTTGAAAATATTGGTTTGAAAAAGAGAAAATGTCTATTAAACACAAGCTTCGAGAGTGGAACATACCTTGTTAATGTGCAGACATAGGATGTAGGCATTCACTCTGCAACTGGAGGATAGTCAGCTCAAACCCCAGCTTTCTTTTCTTTTTTTTTCTTTTATATAACCAGGAAAAGTCCCATTGAGATTAACAATCTCTTTTTCAATGGAATCCTGGCCAAGACAGCGGCAAAAGATTACATTACAAATTACATTACAGTTTACAATTACATCTATCTATAATTAGAAATTCATGAAACAGTTACAAACCATAGATCTCATTTCCAAACCTTTGAGCAATCGTTTAAAATGTCTGATTGGACTCAAATCCTTCAACTTCCAGTCTTTCTGAAGATTGTTCCATGCTGTGGGGGTAGAGTACTGAAAAGCTGTCTTTCCAGCTTCAGTGCGGACACTAGGTACAGACAGAAGCAAAGACTATTGAGAACGTAGAGAATACAGTCCAGCCACTCTTGGTTGAATGTAGTCGACAGAGGTATGAGGGGAGCAGACACAGAATACCCTTATAAATGATCATATACCAGTGAGTGAGTCTATGAGTCTCTAATGCTGGCCAGCCCACACGTATGTAAAGTTCACAGTGGTGTGTACGAGGCTTACAATTTGTGATAAATCGTAGGGAGGCATGGTAAACTGAGTCTAACATTTTAAGAACTTGATCTGGGGCATTGATATAGATTGGGTCACCATAGTCCGAAACCTCTGTCTGTCTCCAAAAAAGTAAAAAAAAAAAACAATCCACTGGACCTAGTTTCCAAATTTGAAGACGTTTTGCTTCCCATCCAGGAAGCTTTTTTAATTCAAAATGTCAGAAATAGCATTGAGTTTGAGGCTTTATAAAGTGAACCAAAAACAAAGCCTTGTTTTGAC